TCCGGCAACGGACCGCAACCCTCAGTGTCGCGCCCGTACCGGACCGGGACCGGCAACGGGATCGCAACCCTCGGTGTTGCCCCCGTACCTCGCTCAGCCAGTGAGCGGGAACTGGTCTGTATGTGGGATCCGAACCCTCGGCGGGAGCACCGCCGCACTCCCAAGCGGCGCACTGTAGCAGTGTGCCACCGGGCCGGCCCCTTTTTTTTTTCTTAATGAAAACGACTGCAAGCCCTGTCATCACACCCTGAGGTGTTTTAGCCCTCTGTTTTATTCCTGAAGTTCCTGCCTAGCCTCTGAAGACCCTGGAGTGTGAGACCCAGGTGTAGTGTGCTGAGTATAGGATTGGGGGATTAGAGGGCCTGGGTCTGAATTCTCCTTAGGACACAAAATGTGAGGTCTTGGGCAACTTAGCCTCTCTGGACACCTGTTTTTTCCTCTCCTGAAAACCAACAAAATCATACAGATTTGCAGCACTGTTCACTGAGAAAATATTAAAGAGCTTTCAAATATTTAGTATTGTTACTAGTAATAACTCGCCATAAAGTCAGGTGTTTCTTATTTGGGGGATGGCAGCCCCCACCTCACAGCACAGTAGGAGAACCCAGGGAACAGAGGAATCTCTACTTAAATGTTGCCATGATCACATCTTCTCTAGAAATGCTGCTCTCCTCTAACTGCGTGTTGTGGGTTTTTTAAGCTAAAAAAAAAAGATGGAAATGCACTCACCCTTTGTGTTAGTTATTCCAACGTGAAGATCAGACCTTCCATCATACTCCCTGAAAGAAACAAGTGGTTTTTTTCTCGTTTGCATGTGTTTGGCATGAAGAGTTGGTATTGAAAGTAGGAGGAGATTTTATCATCACATATTTTCACAAATACCAAGAGTCAGCTCGGTACTCCATAAATATGTATAATCAATTATGTTTCAATTTTTAAAAATAAAACAAGTAAATAAATAGAAAGTGGGGGGAGAGGGCTGGCCCGTGGCTTACTTGGGAGGGTGTGGTGCTGATAACACCAAGGCCACGGGTTCGGATCCCATATAGGGATGGCTGGTTAGCTCATTGGGTGAGCGTGGTGCTGACAGCACCAAGTTAAGGGTTAAGATCCCCTTACTGGTCATCTTTTTAAAAAAAAGAAAGAAAGAAAGTGGGGGGAGATCTGTGGGCTACCCCTCTGGGCTGGTGCTGGAACTTGCCATCAGTGTCCAGGTTAGTGGAAGCCCTGTTTGAAAGCTGGTTGAGTGAAGGGTTCATTTGAGGTAGAAAGTACTTCGCTGCCCCCCCATCCGGATTTTCTTGGGACTCCAGTACTTAAGTGTGCCAGCATAACAGCTGGCTCCCGAGGCCCACCTGGCGGTCAGCAGTGGGGGACGCTCCTCATTATTTCTTCCTGTCCCTCAGGCTAGTGTGGGTGGGAGGATCCTGAATTCATCTCAGGGGACCTCAGCCTTCCAAACTAAAATAGCCGCTTTTGGTCTGACAGCTTGTGGCTGCGCCTGCTTTTCCTGGACAGCCCTTGTTTCCTGAAATTCTTCTTTACTCAAGACTGTTCAAGGCTGGCCCGTGGCTCACTCGGTAGAGTGCGGTGCTGATAACACCAAGGCCATGGGTTCGGATCCTATATACGGATGGCCGGTTTGCTCACTGGCTGAGCGTGGTGCTGACAACACCAAGTCAAGGGTTAAGATCCCCTTACCAGTCATCTAAAAAAAAAAAAAAAAAAAAAGACTGTTCATTAACTGTGTAAATTCATGTAATTTATAATACCAGGCCATCACTTATTAGCCCTGGGACCTTGGGCAAGTCACTTTCTCTCTCTAATCTCATTTTCCTCATCTGTAAAATGAGACTATCATAAGCCTCCTAGCAAGCTGGTAGTAGAATAAAGTACCTAGAGAGTGCATGCCCCACATAGGTGTCAAATAAATTGGAGGCAATTTTTAAATGATAAAGTTCCTTTGTCAGACCATAGGTCTGGATACACATGCTCCTCAATTTACAGTAAGGGTACATCCCGATAAACCCATCATAAATTGAAAATACAGTCATCCCTCGGTATCTATGGGGGATTGGTTCTGGGACTTCTTCAAATACCAAAATCTGAGGATGCTCAAGTCCCTTACATAAAATGGTGCAGTGTTTTCATATAACCTACGTACATCCTCACATAAACTTTAAATCATCTCTAGATTTCTTGTAATACTTAATACAGTGCCTAGATATCACTTCATTTGTGTGGATTCAACATAGTACTAGGCATGTGGAAAATTCAAGTTTTGCTTTTTGGAACGTTGTGGAATTTTTTTTTTTTAATATTTTTGATCTACAGTTGGCTGAATCCACAGATGCAGGACCCACAGATACAGAGAGCCAGGTGTATCGTAAGTCAAAAATGCATTTAATACATCTAACCTACTGACCACTGTAGCCTAGCCAACCTCAAACGTGCTCGTGACACTTTCATTAGCCTACGATGGGCAGAATCATCTAACACAAAGCCTACTTTACAATAAAGTGTTGAGTGTCTCATGTAACTTATTGAATATTGCACTGAAATACGGTGTCTGCTGAGTGCTTATCCCTTTCACACCATTGTAAAGCTGGACCCCACCATAATTGGTTCCTCCTTAAAGCAAGCAGCCCAGGCTTGAAGATGGCCAAAGTCACAAAGGGCTGCCCACCGGAGCGATTCTCCCCCATCATCCTGTGCAGCCACTTTGAGCTCTTTGAGACCCCGTGGGTCCAGATGATGAGAATGAAGCTAGAACCAGCAGTAACCCAGCCAGCTTGGCGACCTGAGCACTGCTCACGAGTGCTTCCCCACGATGACTCGCTGAGCATGTGACTGCACTTGACCTCCACCCAGTGCTAGGCATGTCCTCACCCTCTCCCTTTTTTCCTTCAGGATTTCTCAGTCCTGAGACAGATGTTTATTGGTATCAACTCTGGGCCTGTCATTTTAAGTGAAGGGCTAGTGACACCACCGGAAATAAGATGACGTGTCTGTCCTCATGGAGTTTGCTTGCTTCCAGAGAAAACTTTTTAGTTTTAGTTTAACAAAAGTGCTGTGAAGGGAAAAAATATAGAATGTTACAGAAGCCTGTGATGGGTCAGGGACAGGGCCACAGCCAGCACCCTCTCATATGGTACCTTTGTACAAATTAGGAAGAGGTGCCCCTTCTTCCTGGAGATGCAGCTCTGCACAGGGCACTTGGTTTGATGAGTGGAATGCAACCTGAGTTTTGGCACCCACCACTGCCTTGGCCAGGTGCTGTTGTGCAGTCCACAACCTGCCCAACCATATGTGGCAGCCCTGAGGCATTCTAACCTAGTTAGATCAGAGCCTTGGTGATTCCTTTGGGTCACTGCTGGTTCTCTTTTACCAAGTGAGTGAATTATCTCAAGGTGAGTTGTGGGAATCAGTACTGAGGGTTTGGAAATTTAGATGAGAGTGAAGGAAATAGTTGAGAATCTGGCCTTAGAAGGTCTGGTGGGCAGGGGGCTACCTTGAAGTTTTTGAAGATCCTGGCCTGAGCACCTGAAGAGATTTGAGGATGCCAAACATATGACCTGTTTCAGCACCGCCATTTTCCTTCTTCCAATGCCAAGTAAGAACAGGCCCATTGGTGTCACCACCATGCCACAGAATAAATAAATGGTTATTAGGGGTCAACCTGAAAGCCTGTATGTGTCGGGGTTTTTTTACGAGCAGGACTGTGGCTTATTCACTGTGACATCCCTAACATTTGACATACAGTTTCTCAGTAAGGATTTGTTGAATGACCTAATGTTAGGGGAAATTAACTTTTAATATTTATTTGTGGAATATACTATAAAGCATATGTACTTCACAGGGCCTGGTTTTCCAAAGCCTTGCAGTTTCAAATATTGACACTGTGGAGGACTGGAAATTTTCCTCAGGCTATAAAGTCTCTGGTGTAAGATAAAGATTTGTGGCATAGCAAGGTTGCTGGTTCAAGGACACACTAGTTATTGATTGATATGTGTAGATACTGGAAAATTGCTAGATGGAGAAGGAATGTTTGCTAAGATCAAGCTTTTGTTAATGGATCACTTAATTGTCTTACTGGAATGTCATCTGGCTTGTTTCACTGAAAGTTACCAGCCTATACTGTTATACTATAATCCCACCTATGTTCTCTTCCTGTAACTTCCTGGTGTGGAAAATAAATGCAGGAAGAGAACCCCAATTAAGGGTTAATTTCCCGAGGAAGGGATGCCTCTTGCTTGAGCATTCCCAAGGGAAGTTAACCGCTTCGGGGCTTCTCACTGCTCAGAAGAGATGGGCTTTGAGTAATCCTTTCATCTCCATCACCCAGGGGAAGTGGGGTGACAAATCTGTGGGGGGTGAAGCAACACAAAGCAACATTTATTTATTTTTGGCAGCTGGTCAGTATGGGGATCCAGCCCTTGACCTTGTTGTTACAAGGCTGTACTCTAACCATCTGAGCTAACTGGCCCACCTGAATTTTGAATTTTTTTTTTTTTTTTTTGGACTGGTAAGGGGATCACAACCCTTGGCTCAGTATGGTCTGCACCACGCTCAGCCACTGAGCGCACTGGCCATCCCTATATAGGATCCAAACCCACAGCCTTGGCACTACCAGTGCCACAGTCACTGGAGTGAGCCACGGGGCTGGCCCCTGAATTTTGAATTTTGAACACTTACTCAAAAGCTTTTGGAACACAACCAGTTAATGACTCTGAGTTAGCATCAGCGAGGAAGGGGCTCTTGTAAAACAGTTCAGGCTTAATGATTTTGATTAAGATTTGCTGTGGATTGAATTGTGTTCCCCAAAGTCCATGTGTTAGAAACTAAATCCCCACTGTGACCACGTGAAGAGAGTGGGAAATCTTATTATGGTCATTGAGAGGTGGGGCCTTGAAGAGGTGATTAGACTGTGAAGACCGTGCCCTAGTAAACAGATCAATAGGTTGATGGTTTAATGATGTTCATGGGCATGGTTCTGAGGGCTTTAAAAGGAGAGTGCATAAGGAGCTCTCTCTGCTTCTGCCATCCACCATGTGACACCCTGCTTTGCTATGAAGAGTCACTACCTACCAACAAGGCCCTCACCAGATGTGTTCCCTGGACTTTGGACTTCCCAGCCACTGAAACTGTAAGCAATAAAGATTATTTCTTTATAAATTACCTAGTTTCAAGCACTTCTGTTGTAAGCAACAGAAATAACTACAAGGTGGAACTGAAGTTCTGCCAGGCTGCAGAGTTTCCATCTGAACTGAACATGAAAAGAACAGAATGGGAAGGAGTATGGGGGTGAAACATAGTAGCTGGTACTCAGGCCAGGTTTATGTGCCTGTCACTACACCTCACAACTCTGCAAGATTGGTGTGATCCTCATTTTGCAGATGAGGAACTGGAGTCTCAGAGAGGGTCCTGGAGCTGGTTAGAAGAACCAGGATAGGAATGGTGCTTTCTGACACCAGAGGCTGCATTGTATTCTCTTCATCCCGCTCCCTCCCCAAGGACGGTCAGTGTGCAGTCTCTTCAATACTTAACAGTGTGACCAACACCTTTATACACTTTGGTTCCTTTTGTCCTCATAGGGACTGGAAGGAAATCAATTAAGGAAGTTAGTTAGCACGGAAGTGAGCAGTCAGCTCCAGTTTTCTTACCTCAGACCAGCACTCCTGAGGGGAGCAGAGAGCTAATGATAATGCAGAAACTGAACACACTTCCTAAAGCATGCACCATCGTTCAGAAACATCCATGCTCTTTTAAAACCTGACTCAGACAGGGACAACTCCAATTCTGTTTGTGAACTCCACAGAGACAGTAAGGCATAAGCCTTTCTTCTGATTTCTGAAATCATTTTAAAAGCAAAGCCAGGGGGCATCTATAGTGGAAGCAGACCAGCTCTAGTCTTCAATTTAATTTACCTCCATACAGAATAGTCTGTAAGTGCCTATTCTTCAGGCTCTGTATACTATCTCTTTGTCACAGAAGCTACAAACTAACTGACAGTAAAGGTATTATTTTCATAAGGTGAGCAGCTGATCATTTTCCAAGTTAGCCTCTAGCACCTATTTTCTTTCTCAAAATTGTATGAGCAGGGCTGGCCGGTTAGCTCAGTTGGTTAGAGCATGGTACTGATAACACCAAGGTCCAGGGTTCCATCCCTGTGCTGGCCAGCCACCCCAAAAAAAGGAAAATTCTATGAGCAGGTTTGCTCTTCATATATCCTGCATATATTCTTGCACTTATTGCAGCAATGAAACGTACGCATGCCATCTATGTTTATGAAGAAATTAGACCTACATGCCAGGATTTAAGGCCAAAACACTGGTAAGATTATCCACCAAGCCTCCCCCTATATAGTCCATATTAGAAAAAGAAAGTTTTAGTGACTAAAACATAGAAGGAAAAGTTTCACACAATTCAAGGTAACACTTAAAAGACACTGTACCTAAGAAACGTCCCCTGAGTTGGTCTGAGGAGGAATGAACACTTTTCTTGATGCCCGTTTGTAAATGGGTTAGAGATGCTCACAGGCGCTTCCTCCAGCTTCCTTGAGCCCACATCCTGGTGGCACAGGGGGCAGCACTGAGGCACACTGAAGCTGTAGATGGATTTCTCACAGTGGTTGAATTTAATTAAAGACTTTCCAGCTTGTGCGCAGTGCATAGCTTTCACCTCCTGGGCTACCAGGGCAGGATTCTCCAGACTTCCTTTTTCTCATTACGCAGCTGGCAAATGCACGCCAGCAAGTAACCTGATCAACAGTGATGTCATCCTGATTGAAGGCTTCCAAAGCCAAATCAGGTAGGATTAACCAGTAACCAGGCCACCCCATAAACTGGTTTCTTAAAGAGCTAGACTTCATCTGTGCTCACTTACAAAGTTTCTTTCTAGCCTTTGCACTTTCAGCTGATGACAGCCAGCTCCTATTCATCCTTTAAAGCCCTACTTTTCTGTGAAACCTTTCTCAGCTTCCTCCAGTCTTCCCTTGGGCTGGCAGCACTGGATTCATATTTCTACCAGAACTCTGCTATTTAATTAGTCATAGAGTTGGAACTGGGGACTGACCTTTATTTTTGTGTTCCTAGGATAGGTTATATCATTTTGTTGTTGCATAAATAAAAGAAATCTTTACTTCAAGGCAATTTTTTTTTTTCCTTTTTGTCTCTTTTTTTGTGACCGGCAACGGATCGCAACCCTCAGTGTCGCGCCCGTACCGGACCGGGACCGGCAACGGGACCGCAACCCTCGGTGTTGCCCCCGCACCTCGCTCAGCCAGTGAGCAGCCGGTCTGTATGTGGGATCCGAACCCTCGGCGGGAGCGCCGCTGCGCTTCCCAAGCGGCGCACTGTAGCAGTGCGCCACCGGGCCGGCCCCAAGGCAATTTTTTTTGACATTTTACATTGTGGAGGTAATTTCGCTCATATAAAATGAACAGCACAGTTAAAAATAAGGATAGTGGTTACCCCAGATAGGAGATACTGACTGGCAGAGGGCAGAGGCGGTCTCTGCGGTCTGGGGCTGTTCTGATTCGTTATCTGGGTGTTGTTTGTATGGGAGTATTCAGTTTATGAAAATTCATCAAGCTGTGCTTTTCACTATATGCACTATATTATTTTACAATTTTTAAATAATTTTAAGCAGCTGCACAAAAATATACAGAAAAAAAGTAGTGCCTCTCCTTTCTCCCATAACATTTTTCTACCCACCATATTCTAATGGTGGAGAAATGCTGGGAGAAAGCTAATTTCTATGAAAAAGCTAATGGTAAGTTAGGTGAATATTTCCACATAGTTTTTTAAACCCCAATATTGTTATACTGTGTACTGTTTTGAAATTTGTGTTTTTCTCTCATCTTGAAAACTTTTCCACCATATCAGGTATATAGGTCCAGCTCATCCTTTCAGATGACTGCGTAGAAATGCATAGTTTGTTGTATTACACTTTAACCAAGGCCTGTTGATGCCTTGAGTACCAGAGATGGGCAGCCTTAAAGGGGAGACCCACAGAGAAGGTATCGTGACAGATACAGAAGCTTCAGGAAGGACAGGTTTTTCTTAATATGCATTTAAGTAAATTACAGTATGCTAAAAATGCAGAAAAAAGGACATGAGAATGATCATGAGAATTCCAGAACTAGAAAAGTCAGACAGGTTACAGCTAGACGCTCAGCTCAGGTGACAAGGACCTGAGATTATTCATTATTAATAGAAACCACATGGCTACTGTTGATTGGTTGAGTGACCCAAGCTACTTTCAACTGAGAATGTATTCATCTTTATGACATCAGCAACAAGAGATATTTAAAAAAAATTTTTATTAGCATATTCATTGTTACAAATCATACTTATCCTTTACGCCCCTTACCCAATCTCCCCCTTCCCCCCCCTCCTCTTTCTCCCTTCCCCCTCCCTTTCTAGTAACCGTAGATTTGTTCTCTCCATCTGATAGATTAACTGTTCCTCTGTTGGTTTGCTGCCTAGATGATCTGCTCAGTACTGAGGCAGGTGTGATCAAGTTCTCCCCTATTATCAGAATTCAGATGCTGCTTCTATTACTCTAGAGTGTGTTTGGTGGAGAGAGAGGACTTCTTTTTTTTTTTTTTTTTTGGTCTCCGCTGATGCCTCTCCTTGTGTCAATGCAATTGAGTCTGGCATGCCATCTGCACGGTGGCAATTGTGGTGGCTATGGTGGGCTACCCGTGTGGAAATGGTGTTTTTGGTGTGATCTGTGCATGGTTGCAGCTGGGTTCAGCTTCCTCCAGCTCCACGCCTCAGGGCCCCAGCGGGGCCGTGGGGACCAAGAGAGATTTTATTTGTGAATCTCATGAGCAGAGACGGAGGCAGCGTGCCTTAGTAAACATTTTTAATACACAAGCATTTTTTCCAACACAGGTATCTTCACTCTTTTCTTACGTTGTCTCTATTTTTTAAAAATACTGTTATTATAAAATAAAGCAGATCTAGAAGACTATACAAAACAAATGTGTTTGCAGCTTAATGAATTGTTTTTGTGTGAACCCCTTGAAACTGCCACACAGGGCAAAACCTAGAACTTTTCCAGCCACCTCAGAAGCCCTCCGGGGCCCATCTCAGTCAGAGCCCCTCACCCTCTCTCCAAAAGTAACCCCTAATCTCCCTTCTACAGTAATTGATCCTTGTGTTTCTTTTTGGCTTAATCACCCAAGTGTGCATCTGTTGATACTATATTTTAGTCCTGCCCATTTAAAAATTGTTATTTATTTATTTTTTTTAATTCCTTTTTGTCTTTTTTTACTGACCGGTAATGGGATCGCAACCCTCGGTGTCGCGCCCGTACCGGGGACCGGCAACAGGATCGCAACCCTCAGTGCTGCGCCCGCACTGCGCTCAGCCAGTGAGCAGGAACCGATCTCCACATGGGATCTGAACCCTCGGCGGGAGCGCCACCACGCTCCCAAGCGGTGCACCTTTCAGTGAGCCACCGGGCCGGCCCCAAAAATTGTTATATGTTTTTGAAGTCTCTTGGTTCCCCTGTCTCCCATTTTTTTCTGTTACGATATGTCTATGAAGCCCTCAGGTCACTTGATTGAAGTGTCTCCCATGGTCTGATGTTGCTGACTGCACACTTGGGGTTCTCTTCGACATGTTTCTCTGTCCTCTGTACATCCTGCAAAGTGGCGGCTGATTGCAGAGACTGGCTGAGACTCAGATTTGGTCCCCTTGGCAAGATTGCAGGTAGGGATCCCTTCTTTCATGGGAAAGCACGTCATGTCTCATTTTCATTCTTTTTTGATATTAGCAGCCACTAATTCTCAAAGCCTAGAGATCTGTTCATTCATTGAGGGAAGCCTATTGGGGGTATTCTAAGTGCACCATTTTGTTTTTATACGTTCGTTAGAAAAATTTTATCAGGGGACACTTTCCTTCAGCTATTGCTTAGTTGCCCAGTGGTTCAGTCATGCAGGATAGATTGGATGTGTACCTGATTCTTTACCTACATTTCAAGATAATAAGGGCATCTCTGTCACATTCAGAAGGTGCTCAGTTGGTTTCATGTCCTTTTTCTTAAATGTCACTCTGAACTTATATGTATGTAAGCATATTAGATGGATATAAACCCAATGCAATTTTTATTCTTATTGAAGCTCAAATTGTCCCATCTTTGGCCTCTTCTATTGGCTTCTGAGTCCTTTTCACATGACCCTGGTGGTCTCTGATGGTTTCCTTGCTATCTAGCATGCCAAGACATGCCAGTTTCATCTCAGATCATTCCTGCCCCAGACCTGGAATCACCCATTTCTCCAGGAAGCCCTGATTTCTTTAAATGGGAAATGGTATTTCAAGATTGCAGTCTGCCCACTGGGGATGCTCTTTGCTACTGTGTTTGTGGAGCTACTGCAAATGTCTGGAAATCTGTCAACATCGCCAATTGTAGCGCTCTTAATCCTGTTCATAACGCCAGTTGTCTAGGTACATGACCGCGCCAGTTGTTGGGCTCTTTTACCTGCTGGTAATGTTGTACCAACTGGGCCAATGGTTGAGCTAGGGCTGGGTCTGGAGCTCCCAGACCGCTCAAGCCCATTCATAGACTGGATCACAAACCCTTCATATGTCAGGCTGGGTCACCAGACCCCTTCACACAGGTCTATGAGCTAGGTAACCAGCCAAATAGCTCCTTGGAAGCCATAGGTTAGAAAGCATGGCTGTGCCGGGCGGACACCTGACGCAGACGCCCACCCGCGCCTGCTTCACTAAAACTCCTCTCTCTCTCTCTCAAGAACACAAGAATAGCAACAAAACTGAAAAGATACATTGGCGCACGTGCACAGTAACTCCACACACACAATTTGCTTACAAAGGATGCTGAACCACACCCAACTGGACCCAAGGTGAGGGCCCTGACCAAACTATTCTATTTTCCCAACAGTGTTGGTTATCATATCTCTGCCTTTTTAGTGGACAGAGCAGGGTAAAAAAAAAAAGTACACACAACATGTGCACACACATGAAGATAAAATACTTCAGGAGTTCATATTACTATTCCAATTCAGGATGGGAATACAGGGTTTTTACTTAACCTCTTCTATGTTATATTATATTATTTATTTATTTATTGTTATTATTTTTTTACATTCTAAGGTGTTGTTGTGAAGCAGTTGGGATGGAGGGGGAGAAAGAAACGGGGAAGGGGATATGGTGGGAGGATGAGAAGCCGGGAGGAGCATGTGGTCGAGGCCTGTGGCACCCTGTATTACATTTGTATCTCTTTTCTTCTACACTGAAAATCTTGGTTCTCAAGAAAACTGGGGACTATGGAATTAGGATATCTTGTAATTACCCATTTCTTTATCCCACATTACACACACAACAATCTCATAGTCACCATACTAATACCATTAACTCCAATTATGATTACTACTGAATAGAATTAAAAATTTTTTTAACTTCCTTTAATTTATTTAAATGGTCATTCTATATCTTCATTCCCAGAACTTCTCCATTGTAAACAATAATCTCTTTTAGCCCTCACTAAGGATTAGTTCTGCATGCAAACATATTTAATGCCCAGTTTTTTCATCACCCATTAGTAATTATGGTTGTCTGAGGTTCATTCTCTAGAAGATTCCTTAGGAAGAGCTCATAGGAAGAGCTCATAGGTAGAGCTCACTGAGTTCTTGCATACTG